CAGGGAAGTATTTTGCCCGAACACCCTGGGAAGAGGAAACAGGCAGACGTAAGTTGTTGCATTATATACACAATAATGTTCTGCCACATAGACATTTACCACAGTCAGGTCTGTTCACTCAGTCACTGACTGCAGTTGTCTGTTGGCAGGGAGAACAGAAGGACCAGCTCTGCGTCCCAGCTGTGCACATGGCTCCCAGCATCCACAGTCCAACAATAAATCCGTACAATAACTTGTGTTCTCCTTGACTCCATCTCACCCCATCTCACCCATCTCACCTCATCTCACTCCATCTCACTCCATCTCACCTCATCTCACCCCATCTCACCCCATCTCACCTCATCTCACTCCATCTCACCCCATCTCACTCCATCTCACCCCATCTCACCCCATCTCACTCCATCTCACCCCATCTCACTCCATCTCACCTCATCTCACCCCATCTCACTCCATCTCACCCACTATCTGTGGTCTAAGTAACGGCGGTGCGTCGTTACAGTCTGTTTCTATAGAGTTATTCTTGATGCTCGTCATCGGAGCCGCCGGGTCAGATTCTAGTGAAACCAGATGAAGTCATGCAGGTTCACCAGAACCTCCTTCAGCTCAGACTCCAGCAGAGACCGGTCCACCGTGGACAGACCCAGATCCTTCAGCAGAGACTGGTCCACCGTGGACAGAACCAGATCCGGCTTCACCTGCAGCCTTGGACCTGCAGTCGGCGCTCTGGAGGGAGGAGGAGAGCTCTCCTCCTCTGTCAGACTGCCAGACCCTGCTGCAGTAAAGTGAGAGGGTTTCTAAAGGGAGTCTGGTGCTCAGAGACACGACCACTTTAGTCCACAGGGACCAACAGAACCAACACTATGAAAGTTCTTCGTAGTAACTTTAAACACAACAGATCACTAAAGTACAAAGAACAAACTACGATGAACATGATGTGAAGACAGAATGAAAACATGAAAATAAAAGATATATTTATGTATTTATTGAGTTCAGGTTCAGGTTTTATCTCCTCTTCCTGTTTGTTACAAGCTAATCTGAGTCTGTTATAACATGAGAAGAGGCTGGTATTGGTGGTAATAAGGTAACTTCATACATGTGACATCAACTCCCACTGTTACTGAGAAATATGAGTAATGAAGTGCAGAACTCCATCGTTCCACAGGGAGGAGCTGCAACAGGAAGCAAAGCAGAAACATCATTTAATGTGTTCATCTGCTGTCATGTTGTCATGAACACAACTCATCTGCAGACACACTTCAGGGTCAGAACACATGAAGGAACCAAAGGACTAAACTAAATCCAGGTCCAGGTGGAGTGAGGAGTCCAGATCCTCTGATGATCCTCTGATCAGATCCAGAGGATCACAGAGATGATGGTGGACTCACTCCCAGTGAGATCCCTTCCACTCCCAGGGATGTCCCTTCCATCTGAGGAGAGAAGAAGAAGAGATGAGGAGTGTTTGCAGGACTCCCTTCATCAGCTGTCAGTCAGTGATGCAGCACATCCAGTAGAAAGAGCAGCAGGACTTCAGTCCTTCCAGCTCTCATCTTAACGTATTGGAGTGAACACACTGAGCTCCAAGCTCACACACCTGCACACACTTTGGACATCAAGTCTGTTCACTCTGCACATTGCACTCAAGTACACAGTGGAGATAAAGAGCTGAGGGTCCTGAACGCATCACGACTGCAGAAACAGAGAGGTGTTCACTGCTCACTGTAATGATGGGTTCAAAGCTGATAAAAACCACAGTTTCACTGACATGTGAACGTCTCATCTCTTTGAGATATTCCAATGAGAGAGAACAGATCAGATCAGACTGATGGATGAGGACCACTCTCTATACATGTTGAGATGCTGTCAGCTGATGAACAGCGGTATTTCCTGCAGACTTGAACACAACAACAACAGTCGTCTTCACATCAACTCAAACACACGATCACAACAAGCTTGTGGCTCATCTGATTGGCTGACTTTCTGTCCAATCGTGAAGCCTGTCAGCGTTCTCCTCTCACAGCTTCACTGAGAAGGTTGGAGGTTTACAGGAAATACTGGATCTGTGTTTAGTTCAGTACTGCTGGAACCAGCATGGACTGAGTCCAACCCTCTACTGACCTCAGAGTCTCCAGTCTACAGTGAGGACTCTCCACAAGATCAGACAGCAGCTTCACTCCTGAATCCCGCAGCTTGTTGTCTCTCAGGTCCAGTTCTCTCAGATGGGAGGGGTTGGACTTCAGAGCTGAGGCCAGAGAAGAACAGCTGATCTCTGACAAACTGCAGGTCCTCAACCTGAATAAAGAATGAATGATGAAGATCAGAATCCATTTATAATCCACTCAGATGTGTTCATGTTTTAAATGTGTAGCTCAACATGACTATGTCCTCATCAATGAGCTTTTCTCTTTGTCTTTGTATTATTGTGGATCATCATCATGTCAGCCTTCTACAGACATCATCCACATGTCACCTCAACATTCATACACCTGTTGATGTCTCCACAGGTTAACACCATGCTGCTGGTCTTAGTCAGGTCTGGAACTAGAGGATCAAGACTATATTGATCCTTTAACCAGCTGCTTCAAGAAATATGACCTGATCTCTAAGTGTGTGTGTGTGTGTGTGTGTGTCCTTAAAGATTAATATCAATGATTAAACATCATTTGTGAAAACATTTAAATGACCAGAAACCAAGAAATATTTCTACTTCATCAAGTAAACGTTTTCAATATAAAACAAAATATTAGTTCAGAGGATCTTCTGTCTACAGATGTGACCATTGACCAAAAATTATGAACATTAATTTACTTTAACAACTAACAGTCGACATTTACTATATCTTTAAGAAACAATTCTGTTTTGACTGAAGACTCAATTTAGTTCAAGAAACATGAAAATATGAATAAAAACATGTTTGCTACTTTATGGATTCAAGTTATGTTTTTACATTAATTAAGTTAAATTGTTAAATAAATATAATAGATCTATAAAAGTAACAGAGAATCAGTGAACTGACCTCAGAGTCTCCAGGCGACAGTGTGGACTCTCCAGTCCAGCAGATAGCAGCTTCACTCCTGAATCATACAGGTTGTAGTTGTGACTCAGGTCCAGCTCTCTCAGATGGGAGGGGTTGAACTTCAGAGCTGAGGCCACAACTTCACAGAGAGTCTCTGAGAGATCACAGGCAGTTAGTCTGGAATGACACAAATATTACAACATATTATGATGAAAGAGGACACTTCATATTTACTTCCTGCTTCTTGTTTTGATGAACATTATCTCTTCACATCAGTGGTTCAGCTGATCTTATCAACTGTGTTTCACATGAAACAATAACTCTCATCACTCTCTCTCTACCTGCAGACTTTAATCTTTGTTTGTCTTTAATGTGCAGATGAAGGGAGACAAAGTGTCGCTACATTGAGGCTTCCATAATGTCTGTATACGATTAAATATTTATAGAATTAGATGTTTTTGTCGTAAACACTCTTTTCTGAGCCTCTGAAAATATATATTCAACAGAATTAACGGACCAATGAGGCTGCATTATTTTCAACTAAATTACTTTCAACATGATGTCATCAGAAATATGTTTCAGTGAATCAGCATTAAAAACATAACATGGTGTTCATGAGATCTTTATAAAAGTCTGAATTCAACCATTCTGCTTTTCCTCTCAGGCTGTCTGATGAAACATGGAGTGATCTGTCTGTAGTTTGTTTAGAACTAACTCAACACTTCCTGCAGCTCCTTCACAGTAAAAGTCCTCCATTAGAGAGAGCTGATCATGTGTCTGTGATCAGCTCAGCTTGAGTTAGTTGTTTGAACTGAGGTCAGAAGAGGTCTACATGTTGTGAATTTGATGTTTTTGGTTTGTTTTCTATTTAGTTAGTTAGTCTATTTCTATTAGTTACCATATGCAAAGACGGACTATCAAAAACTGACCTTCTGCTGAAAATAACAGGAATACAATCTACAATCTGTCGTCAGAGAAATAGTTGCTCCATTGAAGCTTAACTTGCACTAATTGTACTCAAAGGAACCAACCCACATCGTCCAATAGCAGGACAGAGTCTTAACAGGACAAAACACACATCAAAGCACACACACTAAAACGTCATATGCCTCAAACCACATTCTGCAACATGACTAATGACCTTCATTTTAATGTTTATTAAACTTTGTAAATGAGTTATAGAATGTAAAAGTGGTGTCTCGGGTTCAGGTCCAAGCTCGTCATTTCCTTCATGATTTCTGTCACTAGGGATGGACTGGGACGTTTAGAAGTTGGTATTAGTCCTCTTAGATTACACACAGCTTTTCTATGTGACCATCAGCTGTCACTGATACTAAGAGGAAGATTATACAAAGAGTGTCACAAAAAGTTTGTTACATTTTAATCGGCAAATAAACTTTAGTAAACACAAATCAACAAAAAATGGTCAGTAACTGAAATGACTCCTATGAATGAGTGAGTAGAAGTTCTCTTACTGTGTGTCTGAGGGTCCAGGTTCATCACTGAAGTCTGGAGGATCACCTTTGGACCAATCACTCTTCATAGACAGACAGATGGATCCTGGAGACTCTGATCTCTGTCTCTTGTTCTGAACTCTGCAAACATCAAGATTATTTAGATTTTGTTCAAAATGTATGTTTGCGCTATTTGACACCAAAAGAAGTTTGTTAAATTTGGCAGAATTTTAAGAACGGCATAAGTTTTTTTATTGTCCGTGGGAGTTTAGTCATTTTCATCCCCCAAAAAGCTTCTTAGGCAGGAAGTTATTTTTAAGGTTGAATATCTTCAGACATATAATTCCTAGAGCCATAACCATCGGGAGAACAGACTCAACGGTACACAACTGATCCGGACACAAGCAGATGTCATACTTTACTACTTAGCCTTGAAAATGAAAAAAAAAGATGAAAAGACACGTGCACATTGAATGGTTTGGGGGCACCAAGCAGTCCCCTAAAGTATATACATATGGACATTTCCATATTTCCCTCAAAGAATACAGTATTTGATGGATGTTATAACAAAGGTCAGGAGCTCTAACATAAACAGAATTCAATAACTCAAGTAAGACAAACCAATGTTGGAATTTGATGCCTTTTTGAGAAGCCAAAATGGTGGTGTGGACTCCTTCCTAGGACCATACATTAGTGTGAAAAAGGGTCTATATGTGGGCTTTGTGGTGTAAGTTGCAAGCTCCTTCCATGTTGTCTTTAAGTTTAAATTTAAAAAGATATGAAGCTTATTGAGCCCATTTGAGCAGTGAACTAAATGAACTCACAATAGACTTACTGTTTAACCAATCACATCATGGGGATGTAATAATGTGGCAAGTGAAGTGGAGATTGAAGCTGTACTACAAGCAACAAAGGAAAACAACGATGCAAAAGGAAATTATTCCTCAATTGATTGCACAGTCACTGATTTGCAAAAAGGAAGCGCTTAAAAGCCACTTCAATATCCCTGATCTTTGTTGGGACGTCACCATGTGGTTGGAACAAAGGGAGTTGAGAGTTGGGTCTACATGGGTCTACAGGGTAGTCAACAGCCGGATTTGAGTTAAGATCACACCAAGCCCCGTGAGACGTTAAGTCTCACCCGGGTGTGACTTTTGGTCCAAACTAAACACTGGGGTCTCATTGGACGAGGGGGCTCCCTGTGCTGCAGCCCTGCTGACCCTGAGACTATCAAACTCTGCGTCACCTCCAGCTCTGTGCCATCCCACACAATTCGATTCACATGAAAGGAGGTGCGCACAACGTTGTGGCTTTTTAATAAAACCTCAGAATAGTCTTAACTTCGCTGGGTGAACAATAGACTGGTTTTGGATCCTGAAGAAGAGAAGTGGACAACTTGCCTGCAGAAGGAAGAAAACGCATTCTTCAGAGAAAGAGAAGGACAAGTTCTCATTCCAATCAAGTCGACATTTGCCGGTCGTAAGGAAGACAAATTCTCTTAACTTCTGAGGAATCCAGAGTTTAACCAAGAAACTCAAAGAACAACATCGACCGCTACGAAGTCATCTCAGAGTAAGAGGCTTGTGTCTGGGCAGAGTTAGGTCATAGTGTGTTTATTACCTTGTTTGTTTTGTTTTAAGTTTACTGTAATGTTGATGTGTTATTGGGTGTTTACGGACCGCCGAGTTCCGTTAGTGATGTGTAGGAATCACTGTTGTAGTAAATGCTGCTGTAATAGTTGTTGTTTAGATCAGTCACCACGAGTGAGGTTGGTAACTGTAACTTAATCAGTTAAAAGACCAGAACAGCGCCTGGCCGTATGAGTTCGCCAGCCGAGTTCTGTGTGATAAGGTAACAGTTTCCGTATTTTACAGCGAAGGTGAGGATCTGCCTTGTTTTTTAGGGTTCTTTTGTTCTCTTTATATATGTATATACTTTGGAGCTAGGGCCCTGAATCCCCCCATTTTGCTCTTTTTTCCATTATGAAGGGCCAGTAATGAAAATGATGACATTAATTGTTCCTTCCAATCTTTTGAATCAGTTGTACATCATTTTGTCTGTGCCTCTACCAAATGTCATGGCTCGAGAAGTTATACATCTAAAGATGTTGAACTCCTAAAAATGACTTCCTGCATCAAACAGAAGGAGCTGAAGATGAAGTCCGGGGGGCATCAGACGATACAATTCTCAAAACCAAATATTTTACAGGATTTATTTGTTGGTGTCAAATAGCATAAACATAGAGTTCTAACCAAATTTAAAATTTAGACAAAAACCTCGATCTGACTCGACACGGTAGAAACACTAACTGACAGGAAGATGGCTCATATGATACATATCGAAATGTGTCACCAAAAGTTGGTATGTTGTAGTTAGCAAGTACATTTTAGTAGAAAGCATTAGAGAGAGCTAACTAAGATAACTCCTACAAATGAGTGAGTAGAAGTTCTCTTACTGTGTGTCTGAGGGTCCAGGTTCATCACTGAAGACTGGAGGATCACCTCTGGACCGATCACTCTTCATAGACAGAAAGATGGATCCTGGAGACTCTGCTCTCTGTCTGGACTGAACTCTGCAAACATGAAGATGATTTTATTCAGAATGAATCTTTGAGAACAACAAAGACATTAAAGTAGATCTGAATACACAAACTACTGATACTGCAGATATTTAGAAGCTTTTAAAGTTTGTATCAGGCCTCTTAGATTACATCACAGCTTTTCTAGGTGACTGACAGCTGTCACTGATACTAAGAGGAAGAAGCTCAAACTCAACTCAAAACCTCTAAATCTACAGAACACATTGTCAGAGGAACAGGAAGTGAACATGACTCCTATGAATGAGTTAGTAGAAGTTCTCTTACTGTGTGTCTGAGGGTCCAGGTCTTTACTGAAGACTGGAGGATCATCTTTGGACCGATCACTCTTCATAGACAGACAGCCGGAGACCAGAGACTCTGCTCTGTCCTCCTCTTCCTCCTCACAACCACTCATCTTCTGACCTGAAGTCAGTCTGAGAGTAAAACAGTAACATTAGGCTCGTTGGAGACGAGTCAGTCCTGATCAGAATCAATCACAATGCATGCTGGGTAACCTCACGAGGTCGAGGCGCCGCAGTTGCTTTTCACCGACTGCATGACCCCAATGCATGATGGGAAGTGCCTGGCTGTCGTAAGATCAAAGAGCTGATTGGCTCTTAGATTTAACAGCAAACACCACTTTTAGTAGAAAATTCTTTTTTTTGTGTAATTGTAATATTTAATTGAATGTTGTCTTTTAGTCTCATGTTGTGCAATGAAGGTTTAATCTAGAAACAGGACGGATACAATACTGATACACGCACATTTAGATAAATCCAAACGAGGTCTGCAAACTATAAGTAGCCTACAGATCTAACAGGAAGTAACTGTTTCTTTGACTTCCTGTTTATTCTTTGAAGGCGGATGAAAACTGTCCGACTTCACCGCAGTTTGTTCAACGTCTCCTGCTGCTGCTCTCGTCTACTTTACAGGAGAGAAGCAGCTCATCTAGAACGAGCCTCCTGACTGTAACACACACACACACACACACACACACACACACACACACACACACACACACACACACACACACACACACACACACACTCTAACATGTGTCCTCTACAGTCCACAGGGAGGAAAGTGACTCACACACTGTGACAGTAAATCAATCAAATGTTGGGTGAACACTCACCCTGCCTCAGCCTTCAGCTTCTCTCCTTCTGCTCTGTG